ATACTGGAAGACTACCGGAAAAGATAAGGAGATCTTCAACAGTGTCACGTCACAGCTAGTTGGGATGAAGAAGACGTTGGTTTTCTACAGAGGGAGAGCTCCCAGGGGAGAGAAAACCAATTGGGTCATGCATGAATATCGTGTCCACGCTAAAGCTGCCTTTAGAACTTCCAAGGTATGTATCTGTTTCTGTTCATTATATTGTGAAGAATATGAAACCCTACATGATATCTATTCATGGAAAATATAGAAATCATACATGTTTTTTGAAAACTTTCTCCAAGGAAAATAATCTTTCTAAGAAAATGCATGAAAAATAGTTGGTTTTGTCTTGTTAACATTTTTACATGTTTTTTACTGGCCATTAATTTCCCAAGGATCTTCTTAGAAATTAATTAATGACTGCTACAGGGCGAGCTGAGCTCTTTCTTCACCTTTCTATTAAGGGAATATGATTAAGTATGGTAGCGTTGAAGATAAATCTCGTCTTTAAGATATATATTTTTTGCATAATAATGAAGTTTTTGGCTCTTTGATTTTCCATTAATTAGTCATTTCATAGCTCTAGAGAAATCACCTTGTAAACGAAATAGATTCTGGCTGGTTACTAACTGTTACTCTGTTAGGGAACAAAGCAATATAAGATATTAAGATATGAACACTCATTTGTGATTTAAAAGTTTTGGAAAGAATTTAAACTCGGTTATTATATATTTAAATTAAGTTTAATTAATTATGGATGACAATTTGACATTACCATAAGATGGATACTAAAGCCGACTCATAAATTCAATAATATTTTTGTTTTATGTTGAATAATAAATAGTACTTGGATATCATAAATTCAATAAATATGATTTAGATATTAAAAAAAATATTATCTGATAAATAATAAATATAGTATAACTATAGAAGAATTTCAATTGAGTATATTAAATATACTCTCTTAAATCTAACAGCCTCAATTCTAAATAATAATAATAATTTAAGTACTCAGCCTCAATTCTAAATAATAATAATAATAATTTAAGTATGTAGAAAAGTAGTTTTAATAGCTTCAATTATCGATAATAATTTTTTTTGACAAAAAGAAATATCCTCAAACCAATTTTCATATCAACTGAGAGTCATCGAACAATCTTTAATTCCTAAATTTTGATATATTTTAAAAAATTTAATAAATATTTTTAAATGTTAACCCTAGGTTAATTTAACCTGTGAAATGAAAGGAAAGGAGACACAGCTTCTTAATCATCAAGTCAACTTCCTGGAGTAAAGAAAAAATAATACTAATTCAAGCATGTAGAAAAGTGCAATTAATAAACCAAAGGATATTTTATACTAATTCAAGCATGTAGAAAAGTGCATTTAATAAACCAAAGGATATTTTTTTTAACAGCAAAGTACTAAAGGATGGGTGATTTGATTTAAATTTAAGATAATTAGTCTCTATGCTACTTATACTAAAGGAAAAATTCCATGGGGTGCACAAAATCTACTATTTGAACATTTCTAGAGAAAAAAAAACCTTTTATTTGAACAAAAAGAAAAACTGAAAAAACGATTAAGATATATTGTCCTCTTTGATTTGATCATGAGTGAAAAGAGGAATCACATCTTGTCACTATAGCTAGGACAGAAATTAATATCAGAAGGCAAAAGGAAAATATTTTCATTTATTGTTCCCAAAATATATATTATTAGCATATATACCTATACATGCTGTCTGTGGATCCAGCAGGATGAATGGGTGGTTTGCCGCATCTTCCAAAAGAGTGCAGGAGCCAAGAAATATCCATCAAACCAATCAAGAGCAGGAAATCCCTTATACAACCTCGAAATAGGACCAAGTGTTATGCCTTCACAGATGATGCAAGCTGCAGACAACTTCCAGCTCCCCATTGGAAGAAACTACATGATGAGTAATGCAGAACTTCAGGCAGAGCTTGCAAGGGTTTTCAGGGCTGGTGGTTCAACTGGTATTAATCTACCAATGCAATCCCCATTGACTAATTCTTACTCCGTTGGAGGAGGAGCAGGAGGATGCTTTACTGTATCAGGGTTGAACTTGAATCTTGGAGGGGCTACATCACAACCGGCTCTGCGACCAATGCCACCTCCGGTTATGAATCAACAAGATGTGACACCCTCCATGATGACTAGTACTAGTTCTTATGCTGTAGAGCAGGCCGCTTATGGTGCAGAAATGAACAATGCAAACGGGCCTAGCAACAGATTCATGGGCATGCAACAGTGCATGGATTTGGAGAACTACTGGCCAGCATATTGAGATCAGATAGAGAGGAAGTATTCAGATGATCATATGCAAATTGGACAAGTTTGTTAAGTAGCTAGTATGCAATAGATTAAGGCTTAAGAATGTTTCAGTTCCCAACATTTATGTTCATTGTCTAAGCACGGGTATTAAGAAGAGAAAAATGCCCAGCAACTTGGAGTCGTGATATTTTGATATTTTTACATAGGAATTGAACTCGCTGTAATGCATCTTCGTTTTCTATATATCCCCTCTTTGAGTTTTTAAATATTGTTAGTCATCGACAGGCTGAACGGTGAAAGTGAGCTCTTATTAGAGCATACACCCAAAGGAAAAGATGAAAAACATGGTTATCGGAACAACGAAAGATCATAACTAAGCAGCAACACAATATCGGAAGCCATAGACGATCAACTGCGCATAGACGATCATGCTAGCAGAAACAAAGAATATAAGGGTGGGCCTTTCAGTAGATGACTGCATCTAAAAAGCGAGCACAAAACAAACAATAAGGCCAACAAACGACCATCCTTGCGGTCTGGTGAATGAAGCGCCTGACAAAGCTGAAGGCTGATCCTACAAAAACAAATATACAAGTAAACATAGAGGCTTGAAGGGGAGGTAGGAGTACTGCAAAACTCCACATCAAAACTGTATACCAATTCCTGGCCCCGCGTGTATATCAATACAAATACGTAAATCCAGATTCACACCAGTAATTAAGGGTGTTCAAAGATATCATGATAATATAGACGACGGTAGTGTTTGCATTATCCTATTCGATCCAGCTCATTAAATTTAGATATAATAATTATAGATTAAAGTAGATAAATCATTTAAAAAATAAATATCATGAGTTAGATAATGAGTTAGTATTTTTAAAACTCAGACAACTCAATCCAAACAATATACCTCTTTATTCTTTTCTTGTTTTTGTTATATTTTGTAACTTTTTTTATAATTAATTCTTTTATTTTAGTCGATTAATTTAACTAATATATTAAATCTAAATTATTTGTTACAACTCACAACATGACCATATAAACCTAACAATGAATATTTGTGATATCTATTAAAAAAAAAAAACAATTCAGCCCTTCCTAATATATCTAACTGCTCATGTCCAAAGAAATTTGAATGAATTAAATTTGTAAAATATTATAAATTAAATTGGATACAATAATTAACCAAAACCTAACCCAACTATATTCTTGAACACTCCAGCTATATCCTTGACCACTCTTGCTTGCTAGAGTAGCTAGCTAGGTTCCTCATGGGGCATTTGACCATATAGAAAGTTAGAAGTTAGAACCAAGAAGAATCAGCCTTGTTCTTTTGGCGTTTTACCTTTACTCTGCCCCTCCCCATGCCCCTTGCCCCTTTACAAGAAGATAGCTAAAAGCAACAAGGGGTGCTCTACCTCCAAGGTATCTGGAACTCGAACCTTGTAAATGAAAAACAAAAAACTTAAACTAGGCTGCAAACTCTGGGTCAATCATTGCTCATAAAACCGAAATATCCATGGGCCGGTCAATAAAAATGTAACAAAGGCAGCAAGAGTTGCTCTAAGCGGGTGGCCAACCCATCTTTGAATTTAACTTCTTTGCATACCAGTGGCCGACGAACCCCACTCATAGGGCAAGGGCCATTGCAGATGGCCCCAAGTTATAGCAGTGCAGGCGGTATAAGACCACAGATGTATAAGCCCACCTATCTCTTCAAAATTATGTCCTTATAATTAATTTTTTATTTGTTAAAAAATATTTTATAAAAAAAATAAATTATTTTATAATATTTGATAATATAATAAAAAATAAATTGAAAAACACTTTCCAGTATTCGGTTATATCATAAAAAATAATTTAAAAAATAACTTATTAATATTTTATTTTTTTCAAATTTATTAAAATAATAAGAAACAAATCTTACAAATTAAAAAATTAAATGAGAATGAAATTAAAAATATAATTTCATAAATTATCTAAATAAAATAAATAATAATCAAAATAATAGAATCAAATCTAAAAAATAAAAATATAAAAGATGAAGAAATTAAAATGATAATAATAATAATTAACATTTCATAAATTATTTCAAATAAAATAAGTAATAATAAAAAAATAATAAGATAAATAAAAAAATTTAATAAAAAATAATAAGAAAAAAAAAAACAACTATAAAAATAAGGACCAAAGTTAATATAAAAATTAAATTTTAAGAGATAAAATTAAAAAAAAAATTAAAACAAAATATATATAATAATTAAAATTTAAAAAATTAAATTTAATAAAATCAACAAATAATATAATGTTTTAAATTTTTCACAACTTTTAGAAAATGTTTTTGGCTTAAATTTTAAAAAAATATATATTTTTTAAAAATCAAACCAAATTTTTTTTAACTAAAAAGTATTTTTCATTGACCAACTTTTTTAATAACAAATAAACACAAAAATCTAAAAAATAATTTTTTAAAAAACAAACACAACCTTATACTTTTTGTTCTTTTAAAAATATATTAAAATAATTTTTTTATTTTTTTAAATTATTTTTAATATTAACACATTAAAATAATATCAACACATCAAAATAACTTGAAAACATTAAAAAAATTCATTTCAAACAAAAAAAATCAACATTTTTAAGAAAATAATTAACACCAATCTCGCCCCAAGCACTCCCCGCATGTGCAGAAAGGATTACCAGTAAATGTTCAAACAAATATAGCTGAACAAACATAATTCTAGTAATAAACAAAATGAAAGGGAAGATTTCTGTCATTTCAACTGTAAATTGAGAAGAATAAAAAATAAATTACAACTCTTAGGTCTCTACCAACATGACTCAAAATACATCTAAACTTTTGTAGTGTGAAAGGTTCTAGACATTCTTCACAAAGACTAAAAGGAAAGAAATTGTTGGTGCTGGTGCTCCCTGGATGGAAAATCAGTCCCAAAAGCCCATGCAAAGATCACAAGTCCCATCTGCAGGAAACAAAATTTCTGAATTAAGTCACCATCTCATAGTAGCACAGGATTAAATTCCTGACCAAAAGCATAATTTCTGGCATTTATGGTGGCGCACACGAATTAGACACACAATGTCAATCTTTACAGAAAATTATGACTTGTAATCTACAGTATCGCAGAAAAAAATAAATGTCTGCCGATACTAACTTGCCTCAATCCTCCAAAATTCTAACCTTTGCATTAATTACTCCAAATTATAACCATTCACGTAATGACTCCATCAAGCATATCATGTTAGCGGAGAAGAGGGAAGAGAAATTAACAGCTTTTTTGACAATCATTACTGCAGCTGCAGCAGTATCAATGATTCGTTATATGCACAAAATTGAAGAAGTGGCAAATCTAAGTCCCACGAGAAAATGGAGGGTAGCATCCTAAACACATTGTAGAAGCCTGTAAGTGTACATCCAAACTACCCATCAACTCAATGCCATGCCAAGAATCCAAAAAACTTTTAGCTGTCAGCTAAATGACTCAAGTTGCTCCGAGCCACAGTTAAATTATGGAGAGAAGAAATGTGGAACCATTCCATGTCCCACAGCAGTGCTTATGATGACACGTACCACAATATATTGCAATGGAAAATCCCAGCAATGCACCAAAAAGTCTACTTGTCTTAATGCCCCCGTTTAGCCTTGCGACGAGAGGGATTGGTGTGAGCATTTCTAGCAGGTTTCTTTGCCTTTTGGCTGAAAATTTCAGGTCAACAACATTTAATTAAGCTGTGGATGAAACTTATCAAAAATCCAAGTTACAGCCCAAAAAATTGATAAACTGTAAATGAAAACGAGAAAGACAGAAAATTCAATATCAAAGTGAATAATAGCTAATTAGGACACTGACCAGAAAATGGAAGAACAAGCTCTGGCCAAAATAATGACAGGCAGGGCCAACAAAGCAGAGGCCTGAAACATTGCAAGATGAATACCTTAATTAATATTGAGAAACTGCAGTCATTAAGTTAGTTCGCTGAAAAGTATTCAATAAAAAAAAGGTCAAAATAAATGACCACGAATACATACAATGAACCAGATCAACTCTTTCATTGCAAGTGGTTTTGTGAGCTCATGCTTTTCCAGTGTCTCTTGTACAGTGACTTGCACCTTCACCAAAAAATCAAAGCAAAAGCATGAAGTCATGGTATTTCTCCAAGGCAAGATGTTAAGTCATGGTTCCATGTACATTCCAATAACAATAGCCAAAGAAACCACTTAAAATGATCCATTTGACTAGCAGACTCATAGAAACAATATAGAATCAGGATTCATTCTAATAACAAGCACGCAGTCAACCAGAGCACGGCAACAAACATGAATAAAACAGCACTGAAACCTGATTGTGGTATGTGGTTGCAGATTCTAAAAACTTCCCATATGCATGAACTGCCTCTTTCGTGTAGGGCTTCAAAGCCACTTTAACTTTATCAACATGGGGCTTTGTCATGGTAGCAACCTGATCAATATATGGCTTGCTGAACTTTTTAGCTTCCTGTGATCAAATTTAAACATATTAGATGAAAGATATGATAGTAGATATACAATAAGGGACAATAAAACAGCACACACACCTGAAAGTAAGGATCACCTATTTCTTGTACTCTGATGATGTGTGGAGTGACTGTAGTCTTTGAGGCCTCATAAATTTCAACTGTTTTAGCAGTTAATGATTGCACATGAGGTTTAACTTGTGTAGTAATCACAACCCATTGCTCTTTAATAGCTGGGACCCATTTCTTCATGCAAAAAAAGCAAGCAATTAATAAGTGCACACATCCAGTTTTCTTCATTGCCAATCAGTTAACACCAAAGATTAGCACTCAAGCAACAAATTTAAGATTAGCATTCAAGCAACAAATTTAAGTTACAAACAATAAACAGTGCAGAGCTACTGGTTCACTCAAACTTTTTTCCAAGCCAAATTTCAATTAGTCTACAGAACAACAGAAGATGCTGCTTAAAAATTAATCAGCCTTAAAAAGGATTATCAAGTCAATTGCACTGCTTAAAAATTAATCAGTCTTAAAAGGCTTCTCAAGTCAATTACACAAGGTAAACATGAGACTGCATTGAAAAAATCAGGTCTAAACTCCCAACAATTATTAAATGAGCGGAAAATTGGAAAGCATAGAAAGAGAGCTTACAGTTTTAATTGTTTCCACATGTGGCTCAGCCCACTTTTCAGCTTGGGCTTTTTTCTCCAGGGCCTACAAAGAGTCGAAATTGTATTTTAGTAATATACATCATTGTAAAATGGAGGTGGTTTTTTCAGGAGGTGCTAGCATTTAACCACAGGACCATAACTAAACAGTAAACAGACACCACAAAAAATGGTAAACCACCATCCAACAACCAAAAGATTATACCTTTTGAATTGCCAGTTCCATGGTAGGTTTTCCATGCTCACTCCAACGTGTCTGTGCCAAAGACTGAAAAGAGATGATATTAACACACATGACAAGATACTTTACAAACTACCATACAGGCATCATATCACCTGCCAACGAATCAACTGTACAGCAAGCCAAGGTGGAAGCCATGCCCCGTGAACCTGGTCATAAGACACAGCTATGAATTAGCTCACTCTTTACACCAAATTCAGGTCTCAAATAGATCGTTCTTTGATGAGCCTCTAGCAAACAGTATTAATTTTAAGAACCAATGCATGTACAAAAAAAAAAATTGTCCTATGCAATGAAGAAGGTTCAAGAAGCCAAAGCATGTGATATATATCATATAATGCAAACATACTAGTACAATAATGAACAAAAAAAGCTTCCATATTCAACCTAATCCTTGAAGTTGAATTTGGATTTCCAAATCATCCAATGAACCTAAATGTAGGAATGAAAGACAGAAATTTTTTCCCTTTTGTCAGGGATAAAAGTCGCACAAAGTTCTTGTTGTACAGATGCTATCTTTTCTTATTGAGGCCTTCTGTATTTGCTTGTCTACTGATATTTGCACCTTTTTTTTACATGCTACATTAAAGAACTAAAACCAAAATTGATCACCAATTTAGCAAATTATTGGGTTATCATTCTCGTCAGGATATTACCATGTTGTCACTTCCATGTTCTCTCATGATCTGAGGTGAAATTCAGTAAAAAAATTTCTCATACTTGCCAAAAGCCCTGCTGCTAATTTGAGCAGGGTGTTATCAACATGGGAAAGGCATATAAAACATGAAGAGAACTTTCATAAGTGTAGAGTCTATGCTCCAAAGTTTCAAGGCTTGCAGAGAACATCAAAATCCAAATTCAGACGACATATATGGATTTTCCTTCAGCTACTATATCTAAAATTTCACAGTAGCACAGAGAAAATCCAAGAACTTTCAAAACCAAAAGGACAGCTCGTTCGTCATATGATTTAAACTAGCATTTTCAAATATAACATCTGAAAAGTATGTAAGCACATAAAAGATGGATGAGCATGGCAAACAGATCTATTAATTCATTACCTCCATTAACTCTTTGGCCTTTGAAATGGCCTCAGATTTTGTTTTTATCAGTTCTTCCTAAGAAATAGAGAAAAGGAAATCGCGTATAAGAATCACCATCATCCAGCATTAAGCATGATGCGAGTTTTACATGATAGTATGATACCTCAGCAATTTTAAGAGCACGTTCTGTTTTATGGATTTTGCTTTTCTGCTCCACGTTAATCTTTTCAAGCTATAAAGCAAAGACATTATTTATCACATTACTAACCATCACAAACTATGAAATTGAAGGACAAACTCTGATTATAAATATGAAAAAGAAGTTGGTGCCAAGATGAAAAAAAGAAACAGGCAGTAATATGTTGAAATAAGAGAAAAGTAAGTGTGATACCACAATTAAGAATAGGACTTGAGTAGCTGAAGAAGAGCATATGCATATGCATGCACATGACACTGATGCACACCTTTGGGGATCCATTAGCATATCATATTAAACAGGTGTTAAAGCGAGGTAGGACATTAAAGTCAAAAGACCATTAAAACTCTTCAAAATTGTAAATAAAATGCCTTGTCTGAGAACAGGGAAGGACTAAAGCTGTTTCATCATTCCAAAACTTTATGCATTTCCAGTAACACTGACTATCAAGGAACTTACATCTGCTAGCTTAAAGTTCAATTCACTAATCTTCTTTTCTGCTTCACTTGCTCTGGCTTCCAGGGCCTCGTTTTCCTGTTTTTGTGTTTCTAATTCCTTAGAGAGCTTCACCATCTGCATAGAGAAGTAACAGTTACAAAGGCACCCAAAACTTCTTCCAAAGTCACTAGCTTTGGCTACCCAGTAGAATAATAAACCTGTTTCTCTAGCTCGCCTGCACGAGCATGCGCCTTCCCAACTAGCTCCTGAGCATCAATCTTCCCTTTTTTCTGTTTAGCAACAAAAATAAATTAAATAAAATTAAGAAAAGCCTCGTCATAGCATGCACATTGAAACCTATTTCCATAATGCAAAACGACTAATCCAAAACATCGCATACCTTAAGAGATGAGATTTCACTCTGCAGCGACGCGATGCTATCAACTTTCTCTTGAATAATTGTCTCCTTCTGCGCTATCATGACATCCTTAAGATTCAATTCTTTGGTTTTCTCATCGATATGAGATTCTTCATCCCCCAACAACCACACAGTTAGTAAAAATATTTATTAAAAAAAATTGTTTTAAATCCAGAAAACTAAACATTAATTAATTAATATATCTGGCTTGATTGTTCTAATCCTTGCATTAGTTGTTTATTAATCACCCTGATCACAGACAAACCTGCTATAACCACTCAAAAATTAAGAAAAATTATGCTTTCTATGGAAGATGAGATTCTTTCTTTCATCGATAATATCTAAAACCTAAGATTCAAACTTCAAAATTTCACGAAAGTCTCGGATTCATAAAAAGCAACATTAGAAATAAAAGAACTAACCGAGTGCGTGGATCTTAGACTGGAGTTGATCAAGTTCGATCTTCAACGCGGACAAATCAACGGCAGCAGCCGACTCAGCTGTACTATCATCATCAACATCAGCCCTGACACCGACGGCGGTGAATATTATGGCAAAAACGAAGAGAATTGACAGGAAAGCGAGTTTTGAGGCCGCCATGAACTCAAACTCGCTGAAGGTAACACAGAGAGAGAGAAAAAGAGGATAGACAGTTTAGTTTCGGTTTGTTTGGCTATTATACTGAGCCAGGTTGGAACGTGTTGAGCTAAGAGGAGAGGAGCATAAAAAATATCAATTCAAAGCAATAAACGCGAATGGAGCAGGACCAGAAAGGCTATTTATTAGTTATTTAATTAATTAATTAATTAATTTTCCATTGCTATTTCCACTTTTTCATGTTTGTTGACGGTTGGAGGCTTTGAAAAGGAGTTAGGGTTATTTACACGTGGCTATTGTGAGTTTCGGCCATTTTTACAAGAAGGTACTGTGATCATGATGATTTCTAGAAGTATTTTTAAAAAACAAAAAAAAAGTGTGTGTATATAACTATATATTAAAATAATTTTTTTTATTTTATTTTAATATTAACATATCAAAAATATTAAAAAAATATTAATTTTAAAATATTTTATATTAAATATACTTTAATATTTAACAAAAACACAAAATCAAATAATCTTTTATTGATTTTAAAAAAAACTGAATTATAAGTAAAAATTTTATTTATTTAGAGAAAATAACTAGTCTTTAGTTTTTTTAAATTAGATTATTTTTATTAATTTGATCTTATTTAGGCCTTGAGTCCATGAAATAACTTGTTAAGTTGGGTTTTACTATTAGAATTTTAACTCGGTTCAGATTTATTGGGTAAAAATAATAATAATTTCAAATAAATAATTAATTATATAAAGAAAATACGAGAGGGTTAATTAGGATTATTAGAGATCGTGGTTGAGAATTTGGCAAAAGCAATTGAGTTTTATTGTATGCATTACAGAGAAAAAAAAAACTTAAATTTTTCTAAGATTTAGTTTTTTGTGTTTTAAAAATATTTTTAAAATAAAATAATTTTTTTTTTTACTTCAAATTAATATTTTTTAATATTTTTAAATTATTTTAATATATGAATATTAAAAATAATTTTAATATGTTTTAAAAAAAAAACCATCTCTAAGCTAACGGACAGGTAGTGGTTGTTGAGCAGCGGTATTAAAGTTTTATATGGTAACGTGGCAGAATTTGAATGGAGAGGCACACAGAACTAGGTGGGTAGGTGACACAAAGGCACCGAAGCTAATACTGGGGGAAAGAGGTTTTACGAGCAGAACAGAATTGTTGGCTCGTATTTATTAATGATTTAAAGCATTTTTATCACTGCATTTTTAACTAAAAATGAAAATGAAAAAAATTAATCTCTTCCATTTCTAAATAGTGTTTGCATATAAAGGAAAATGAATGTGAAAATCATTCTGAACACCATGAAAAGCTATTACTGGGCATGAACCCAGGTGGACCATGGAGCCCAGCAACAACAAGGCTTCAACTTCGCTCAGTAATGCCCAGGCCAGGTCTGATCAGTTTTCAGAACCTGGGAAGTTTGGACCGGGCTTTCTGTAGCCCTGATCAGTTTTTCTCAGGCTATTATTATGATCTCCCTCCATAAATTACAGTTTAGCTTGAGAAAACAAATAAAAAACGTAAATTTAGAGTTCCTTTCATGAGGAGAGAACTTGATAACATATCATTAGGAACTCGTCCCCTTATAGCCAGATGGTAATAGAGTAGCCATGTACCTAGTTCCCCCACCACATCCAAGAAGTGCCATTGATAACATATCATTAGGAAAATAATGACCTCTCTCTCTCTCTCTCTCTCTCTCTCTCTCTCTCTCTCTCTCTCTCAAGACGTATAATATTGACCCATCTAATTGTTTCTTGTGTATAACATTTAAGTGTATATATCCTAATTTGGGCTGAAAACAAGTGTTTGTATTGGGAATCATAGACAATGATGATAGTAAACGAGTGGTGTATTTGCGAGATCAATATATCAGTTAAATTCTACACTCAATTTAAAGACATTAGCAAGTTCACAGCATGCGATTTCCTCTGATCAGAAAGCTTACAAGAAGTTAAATCTAAATTACTGATATCAATCTGTAATTATATATTAAGATATTATGTTGGAGCAAGCTGATACTATGTTGGTGCAAGCTCAAACCTTTACATTTGGATGGATGAAGGCATAGAAGTTAGCATATAAAAAAAATTAAGACACTTGTGCACAAAGTAGTTATAAATTTTATGAATTGTTTTGCCATATTTTTCATTAGATTATTATGATTTTATGACACGAGAATATTATTTAACAAATTTAACTCGAGTGTTTTTGTATCTTTTATTTAATTAATTTTTTTAATTTTATTATTCAATATTTGATTAGTTAGGAATTGAGTTTTATAATCTATTATCTTTTTATAAAAATATATTAGTCTTAAGATCAAGGTCGCGGGTTTTGGTATTTTAATCCTAATTAAATCATGTCGCTCTTATTATTTTCTTACCAAGAGATTATATTGGTTTCATTACTTAGGTCACGAGTCCTTCAGCGTTGGATTTTTTTTATTGAGTTGTCTCTGTCTCTTGATTTGGGTCGTGGATTAAGCTGATTGACTTTTTTTTAATTTTATCAATCAATACTGTTTTTAATTGGAAATTAAATTTTATAATTTATTTTGATTTATTTTTCATCAAACTATCATGGTCTCATTACTCGATAACAATGCTTAACAATTAACTTGGTTTATTTTTTTAATTAAGATTTTTGAAATTTTCATCATTATTAGATCTAATATGGACGATTAAGAATCAAGTTTTGTAATTGATCTTAACTTTCTCTTTATAAGTTTATTCTAGTTTTAAAATCAAAGTCATAAATTTAACAAATTAATTCGAGTTAAATCAAGTCTTTTTTTATTCTTTTCTATAAGGTTATCTAAGTCATGAATTTGATGGATTGACTCAAGTTATTTTTTATGTTTATTTTTTAGTTGAATTTTTAATCTCTTCCTTCGATGTTAGACTGGTTAGGTATTAAAATTTATAATTTATTTTAATTTACTTTTCATAAGTTTATTTTGGTTTTATAACCAAAGTTGCACATTTGACATGTTAATTCAAATTGTTTTTTTAAGTTCTTTTTTAATTATTTTTTTCAATTTCATCCTTCAATATTGAATTAATTAGGAATTAGACTTAATAATTTATTTAATTTGTTTTTGATATAATTATTATAGTCTTGTAACTCGGGTCATGAATTTAAAATGTTATCCTAGATTGTTCAAGCTTAATTCAATATTTTATTATTTTAATATTAAAAAAATATTATTTTAAAATTTTATTCGGTCAAAATTTATTTTTCCAGGTTTTGTTTTTAGACAAATAAAATCAATTAAACTGTAACATTTTTTTTTCTACTGAAATAAATTAGTAATATTTAAATATTGTTTTATATTTAATATTTCTTTTTCTTTTTTTTTACCTAAGTAACAGCACAGCAGAGTCACTCATCTAGTTTATATCGACACGAAGAGATGTTTTTTCTACCCAACTGTCTTTGCCCTCGATTCCACAATTCCACGATAGTAATTAATCGCTATCTAATCCATGGTGTTTTTCTAATCACCAACTATACAATTTAGCCACATCTTCTTTGAAGTAGCTATCATTGAACGCATCTGCCTAGCCTCATTTGTTTCAACTGACGAGACTTGAGCATTGTTTTAAACCTCAGTTTTTGACGTAGATGGTTCAGTCAATGCTATAAAAATAACAGAAGAACTGTGCTTGAAAGATAATGGAAGCATGGATAATTAAGAAGAAAATTGTAAAGAAGCGGGCAAGAAAAAATGATTCTTCTTCCTTTGAGAGCTCCCAGAGCTTGAATGAGGAGGTTCCTAGTGCTATATATGGAAGATTGTGTTAGATTAGAACTTGATGATGAACCTGGGAATGTAAGTTTGGAAAGTGTTGGGGGTGTCGAGGATAGTAAAGATGTATCCTGTGAAGGCCCTGGGAATGTTGAACTCACCAATCCAGTGTCATGTATTAATCAAATTAAGCAATGAGAATAGAAACCATGTTGTCCAGCTTATTTCACCGATGTGCAGGAACATGAGGAGATATTGCAGAGCTGGCCTGAGGAGATTAAGTATATGGAGAATATAAGGAAAGAAAGGAAGACTAGTTTAAAGGAAAAAGAAATTGAGGGTTTCTATCTTTGAGTGCTATGTTTGGTACGAGATAAAGATGGCACGGGAGAAGAACTCAACTCGGATTCGAGGCAGACACGACAATTCTTCAAGAGTAGTAGAGATAGGAGACCATCAATTGCTGGAATATTGGAATGGCTATATATCTTGAAGCAAGATGATAAAAAGCTATTGATTGTTGAATCACTACAGAAAATCTTAGAAAAGGAAAGAATGGGCTGAGAAGGGAAGTAAGAGCTGACTCTAAGCTCTTACAAGGTTCCAGGTGAGATTTACAAGGACTTGCTCAGTGCAAAGGATGGTTAAAGCATTACTCTTCTTCAACATGACTAGGCATTAGCTGCAATTTTTTTAGGTGGTTTGATGTTACTATCTTGCTCGGGGGTCTGGCTTGAATGGGGTGTTGTTGTGGCTGATTTTAGGGTTGTTATGTGGTGGTTTGTTCCAAGTGTCGAGGCTTGATTTCACGCTGGGAAGCCATGGTTGGTTATGGCTAGCGGCAAGGAGCAGTCTAGCTCTACAGTACCATATCATTCAATTTCTTCTATTTTTTTGGACAGAAAAAAATACCAATAAAGGGATTAATGTTTTAAGATATAAGAAGCTTGAAAATGAAGATCTCATTTCGAATGGTGAAGAAGCAAGAACAAGGAAGGATTAAAAAAAAAAATGAAGATCTCATTTCGAATGGTGAAGAAGCAAGAACAAGGATTAAAAAAAAAAACACAACCTCTTTTATATTTAATTTCAATTGCATCATAGATTTAGAAAAGAAACTTCATACTTGCATAGTTGCAATTATTTTTCCAGGGTTGGCCCCATTGGCCGTAAATTTAAACCACACATGTTTTCACTCGTTCCCTGCCATTAAAGCAATGTCATCATACACATGTGGGCACCTTGACCTTGAGCATTGCATAATTGTGATAGCCTTTGCACTTTATTATCATGATTTGATTTCGGTGCTGGATTACTTTCCTTGTCCTCTCTAGAATGCACTTTTGGGCTTCTGAGATCGTCAGCAAGATCATGATAATGATGCAGAGGAAAAGGGTAGCCACTTGGAATTAAAAGATAAAAA